ACGATGTATCTCGCTGCATTGCGCGAGTACGTTTCTAGTATATATATATATATGATTGGAATTGATTTTTAAATGTTTTGAATTTTTTTAATGTCTATTTAGTAGTTGGATTGTGGATGCTCGAAAGGCAAGAAATGAAGATAAAGATCCAAACCCACAACGTTCCGTCATTCCTTTTATCACGCATAAAATCAACCCTCTCCACCCTCAAAGGCGGCGCGTGATTATGACGGGCGATTATACAGCTGTTTATATATAACTATTAATATCATTGACGATCATCGTAAACCATAAATACACGCCCTAGCTATATTTCCCGTTAAAAAAATAAATTAATGGAAAACACCAAGTGGATAGCTACGGTGGCGAGCATATGGATCCAGTGCTCCTGCGGTGCCTCCTACGCCTTCGGAATCTACTCCGCCGTCCTCAAATCCAGCCAAGGTTACGATCAATCCACTCTCGACACCGTCTCCGTCTTCAAAGACATCGGCGCTAATATAGGAATTTTATCCGGCCTCCTTTACCATGCCGTCATGGTTAACCAGAGCCGTTCACGGCCGTCGTCGTCTCGTTTTGGATCCGGACTATCGCTGGTGTACTTGGCCGGTGCGGTTCAGTGCTTCGCCGGTTACTTTCTTATGTGGTTATCCGTCACCGGAGTGATCGAGAGGCCTCCTGTGCCGGTGATGTGCCTCTTCATGTTCATGGGGGCACACGCGCAGACTTTCTTCAACACCGGAAACGTTGTCGTGGCGATTCAGAATTTCCCAGATTACAGTGGGACCACCGTCGGCATTATGAAGGTAATTTTGTCTGTTTCAATTGTTTGTCTGATTCGACATTTAGCATCATCTAGAGATAAAACATAGGAGGAATATGTGAGTCATCACCAACACCAACAACCGAATCACGTAATCTCCACTCCGTAAGAACTACGAGATTACCCAAGGACGCTTTCGGTATCCAGAGGTTACGGACCGATCCTAGAATCATGTTCACTGAATGGCGAGTTGTACTGTACAAATTTTCATGCATACAGATACAGTACACCGTATCCGAAAGACATCGGGATATGGAGGATGTTTGTGATTTGGATATGTTCTTTGTGAAAATGATCCGATAATATTGGAAAATAAGAATTAAATAAATAAAAAATAATAGACTAGAATTAAATAAATTTGTCTCAAATTTTGAGTTTAGAGGCGTAATGTTTAAGGGTTTTTTATTTCGGGAAAATTGTAATAAAATGAAACTAATTTTTACATGATTCTTATTTTGGGGAATCAACTTTCAAAATTATCATTTAGGGGTCTCTATCAAACTTTTTATTTATTTAAGGGTCTAGTTGACATGTTGATCTTTTAATGCTGACATCATTCAGATATTTTGCCAACTAAGATATTTCACGTCATATTAATTTTAAATTTTAAAACTAATATTGCACGTCATATTAATTTTTTATTTTAAAACTAATATTCCACGTCATATTTAAAATTATAAAATAATTATAGAAAAATAACTAAAATTCGTTTTTTTCCAAAAATTATTGTAATAAAATCTATTTTTCACTCCAAATCTTGTTTTTTTTAAATTCAGATACCAAATTGTGAGTAAAGAAATTCATTTTTGAAAAAATCTTCAATTTGATATCTGATTAAAAAAAACGAGATTTGAAATGAAAAATAGATTTTATTACAATAGTTTTTGGAAAAAAAAAATGAATTTTAGTTATTTTTCTATAATTATTTTGCAATTTTAAATATGACGTGGAATATTAGTTTTAAACTATAAAATTAATATGACTTGAAATATTTTAGTTAGTAAAAGATCCGGATGATTTCAGCATTAACAGGTCAACCAGACCCTTAAATAAACAAAAAGTTTGATACAGACCCTAAATAACAATTTTGAAAGTTGGTTCTCCAAAATATGAATCAAGTGAAAGTTGATTTCATTTTGATGCAATTTTCCCTTTTATTAAAAATATAAAACTTGTATGCATTCAAATATTTTAACAAAACAGTTAAAGTTACAAAAACTAATTAATAACAATACCATTTACAAATCAAGTTTCATAATTGGTATGATACTACAACCGGCTGTAGTCCGTATCAATTTAATTGGTACAGTTGGTACATATGTTGTATAGTTTGGTATGATATATATTATCACCCTTAAATTAGATAACAATATAAAATTATTTAAATAAATACCAAAAAATTAATTGAAAAAATATACGAGAAATAATTATAAAAAAGAACTTGGAAATTATGGAGATATTATTAGAATGTATTTTTATAAAAAGCTAGCTTATTAGAGCTACCTTGTAGTTGATTAAACAGGGTTAAAAGCTAACTTATGGTTACTAAACATGGTCTAAATATGTAGGAGAGTCGTTCTAATCTTTTTGGAACCCCTTGTTATACATATATCTAGATAACTGAATAAAACGTTTGGTTAAAACTCTTAAATCCGTTCATCCCTAAACGATTTCATCCTTATCCGATTTCATCTCATATCTGAATTCGTGTAACTAACTGCAGATAAACACAATCAAATACARGATAAACATCTCATTTTAAATATAAAAAATCTAAAATATAATTAG